CCTCTGGTCTGCCATTGATAAATTAGAAACAGATAGCTCAGACAGCCCCTAGTGGCTTTGGAGGGAATTCAAAACGAACCAGAACAAATCTTATAGTTTAGTACTTAGCTGGGTATGACATTATTGATTTTGTAACAGATTATATTTGACGAGAGAACCCGAGGATTTCTTTAAATTTTGGAAAAAAATTCAACTTCTCTGCAACTGACGTTTCATTTCTGCGAATATTCCTTTGTTGGTAAAAAAGAAAGATAGAATATAAGTTGGCTTTTAAGTTGTTTAAACAGAAGTGATAGGTTTAATCATTTTTAATTAATAAAGATTCCTTATTTTTTTATTTGTGTCCGTCTTATTCTTTACCCACCAATTTATTTGAATAGCATAAATTAACGACTTTCCACTCCGCAGTTCAAAGTCCCTCATGAATCACAGAAGCCCCAGTGTATCGATCAAGTTTCTTCATTATCATTAATTGCTTCTATAGCTATCCCAAGAAGGTCCGTAGCCCCCTCTCCCCCCCCAAAAAAGGCTTCCACTCTTGGTACTTGATCACGTGTGCCACGCTGTGTTCCTCTAGCTTTGTATAGTTTTAAAATTGGTGCTCCTGGGACCCAAGGGGGGCCTATAACATAGTTCCGTTTTCAGGTTCGAGTTCAGCTATCCTGGAATTCTTACCCTTAGACCCCCATCGTGTATGGGCGCCTTTTTGCCTTCCTTGGTCCCTCAAATAAATAAGGGTAAGGAGACTATGTTATACTAATAAGTGTATCCCGAGGCCGTATTCCAAGTTTGGTTGTGCTAGCACCAAAATTGTGAGATGAGTTCACGGACGACAGATTTCCGAAACACAATGTGAATTAATTTATTTTATGTTTTGTGGTGAAAATTTTCAAGGGTGAATTTACTGTTGTGGTCACTTCATATGCTTTTGATTGTTAGACTATTTTTACTGATTTCAGCTATATACAGATTCACCGTTTTCACAGTTAATTTGATAGATTTATTTACGTAATCTTCATTTGTGTGTGTGTTTGTGTTTATGTTGAATATGAAGTGATGTTATATGCTATTTAAACTTAAGAACTTTATTGTTGCCTACTTTTTTACTCGCCCCCCCCCATTGGC